TTTGTTCAGTCTGTTATCTAATATGCATTCCATAAGTATCTAGCTTAATGCATTCCATTTGTTAACTACTCTGACACTGAAAAAAATTCTTTTTAATGTCTCTGTGGCTCATTTGGGTTCTAAGTTTCCACCTGTGTCCCCTTGTTGGTGTTCCACCCGTGCTGAAGAGTTTGTCTTTGTCCACCTTGTCAATTTCCCTGAGAAATTTGTAGGTGGTTATCATGTCTTCCCTTCCCCAGGGAGCCGGTCGGCCGAGCGGACAGCACACTGGACTTGTGATCCTGTGGTCCCGGGTTCGATCCCGGGCGCCGGAGAGAAACAATGGGCTGAGTTTCTTTCACCCTATGCCTCTGTTACCTAGCAGTAAAATAGGTATCTGGGTGTTAGTCAGCTGTCACGGGCTGCTTCCTGGGGGTGGAGGCCTGGTTGAGGACCGGGCCGCGGGGACACTAAAGCCCCGAAATCATCTCAAGATAACCTCCCTTACTCTTCTGTTTTCCAGGGACGTGAGGCTCAGCTCCCTTAGCCTTTCTTCGTATCTCATACCTCTCAGTTCCGGGACTAGTCTGGTAGCATACCTCTGAATCTTCTCTAACTTTGTCTTGTGTTTTACTAGGTATGGACTCCAGGCTGGAGCTACATATTCCAGGATTGATCTGACGTAAGTAGTATACAAAGTCCTGAACGAGTCCTTACACAAGTTTCTAAAGGAAGTTCTTATGTTGGCCAATCTAGCATATGCCGCTGATTATATCTTTTTGATGTGGACCTCTGGGGACAGGTTCGGTGTGATATCAACCCCCGGGTCTTTCTTTCTATTTAACTCTCACAGGATTTCACCTCCCAGATGGTACCTTGTGTTCAGCCTTCTGCTTCCTTCGCCTAATTTCATTACTTTACACTTTCCTGGGGTGAACTTTAGTAGCCATTTTCTAGATCATTCCTCCAGTTTGTCCAGGTCGTCCTATTGTCTCTGTTTTGATTCTTCTCATAATTTTTGCATCATCAGCAAACAGTGAGAGGATTTAGTCTATACCCTTTGGAAGATCGTTTACACATATTTGAAGCAGGATGGGTCCAAGTACAGAACCCCGTGGGACTCCGCTGGTGACATCTCGCCACTCTGATGTCTCTCCCCCCTCACAGTTACTCGCTGTTTCCCGTTGCTTAGATATTCCCTTATCCTCTGGAGCAGCTTACCTTTTAGTCCTGCCTGTTGCTCCAACTTTTGTAACAGCCTTTTATGGGGTACTATGTCAAAGGCTTTCTAACAGTCCAAGAAAATGCAGTCTGTCCACCCTTCTCTTTCTTGCCTAATTTTTGTTGCTTGGTCATGGAATGATCATTGCATAATGTAAAAAGGTGGCTTTGCATGAATGTAAAAATACCTATGTTATGTAATCTCACCAACCCATTGTACCTTCTTGCAAATAAATTATTATTATTATGTGCCAGTGTATGGTTGTTCAGCGTCTGAGCCAGTTATGTGCCACTGTAACCTGCAGTCACTGGATGGTTGACAGTTCCTGAGCCAGTTATGTGTCCCTGTAACCTGCAGTCACTGGATGGTTGACAGCGTCTGAGCCAGTTATGTGCCACTGTAACCTGCAGTCACTGGATGGTTGACAGTTCCTGAGCCAGTTATGTGTCCCTGTAACCTGCAGTCACTGGATGGTTGACAGCGTCTGAGCCAGTTATGTGCCACTGTAACCTGCAGTCACTGGATGGTTGACAGTTCCTGAGCCAGTTATGTGTCCCTGTAACCTGCAGTCACTGGATGGTTGACAGCGTCTGAGCCAGTTATGTGCCACTGTAACCTGCAGTCACTGGATGGTTGACAGCTCCTGAGCCAGTTATGTGTCCCTGTAACCTGCAGTCACTGGATGGTTGACAGCGTCTGAGCCAGTTATGTGCCACTGTAACCTGCAGTCACTGGATGGTTGACAGCTCCTGAGCCAGTTATGTGTCCCTGTAACCTGCAGTCACTGGATGGTTGACAGCGTCTGAGCCAGTTATGTGCCACTGTAACCTGCAGTCACTGGATGGTTGACAGCTCCTGAGCCAGTTATGTGTCCCTGTAACCTGCAGTCACTGGATGGTTGACAGCGTCTGAGCCAGTTATGTGTCCCTGTAACCTGCAGTCACTGGATGGTTGACAGCTCCTGAGCCAGTTATGTGCCACTGTAACCTGCAGTCACTGGATGGTTGACAGCTCCTGAGCCAGTTATGTGTCCCTGTAACCTGCAGTCACTGGATGGTTGACAGCGTCTGAGCCAGTTATGTGCCACTGTAACCTGCAGTCACTGGATGGTTGACAGCTCCTGAGCCAGTTATGTGCCACTGTAACCTGCAGTCACTGGATGGTTGACAGCTCCTGAGCCAGTTATGTGTCCCTGTAACTCGTAATCCACTAGATGATTGTTCAGGTCCTGAGCTATTTATGAGCCATTATGACCTTTAGTCCACTAGATGGTTGTTCCACTGTAACTCAGAGACATACATGGATAGAATTGTTTCAGTGTCAGAGTAATTAATTAATGGCATGCACTAGGTAGTGATGTGGTGGAGGCAGACTCCATACACAATTTCAAATGTACAGATATGAGAGAGACCTGACCAAATGTAAACTGCCAACAAAATTATTCGCACACCCTAAATAACACCCACACCCTTCAGGGCGTGGGTGTTTCTTTTCAAGTTAACTTTTTAACCTCCAAAGAATTTTCAAAGAATTTTTCAAAGAATTTTCAAAAGGCGTGGGTGGATGGGAAAACTCATTTTCGTCTTCAGGGCGCCTGACAGCTGGGTGGACAGCGCTTCGGATTCGTAGTCTTGAGGTTCCGGGTTCGATCCCCAGTGGAGTTGGAGACAAATAGGCAAAATGTTTCTTTCACCCTGATGCTCCTGTTACCTAGCAATAAATAGCTACCTGGGAGTTAGACAGCTGCTACGGGCTGCTTCCTGGGGGTGGAGGCCTGGTCGAGGACCGGGCCGCGGGGACACTAAGCCCCGAAATCATCTCAAGATAACCTCAAGATATAACCCTCCGTCACTATATGGTGGAGTGCGAAAAAATCGTAAATTCAGAGACAATTCTATAACCAATATATTCCAAAGATGTGCAAATATTTCATTCAAAATGATCTGCTACCAGAAATCTTAGCCAAATATATCCCCAGTTTGCTAACTGTAGGTAGTAACTAAGTGATTGTAACCTATCCACCGCTGCCCACTGGGGGGGGGGATGGTGTGTATGCCCCCATGTATGTATGTGTATGCATGGTTTGTATGGGGGGAGGGGCGGCGGTGTGCAGGACAAACATATCAATTATGACACTAGCTCTCCACATATGTCAGTTGATTAATTTAGAAACTGTACTTGTGGTCGATCTCGAACCCATTGATGATGTAACGACTTATATTGAATTTTGTAACTAGCTCATCAAGATTGTAACTTGCTTAGCTAAATGAATTGTGGGGTTCAGTCTCTGAGCCCATTATGTGCCTCTGTAACCCTTTCCACTACCGCCCACAAGATGGGTATGGGGTGCATAATAATGGAACTAAACTAACTATAAGCTCAACACAGGCTCGGGAACCTATGCACCAGTTGATTGACAGTTAAGAGGCGGAACCAAAGAACCGAAGCTCAACTTCCTCAAGCACAATTAGGTGAGTGCAAATAGGTGAGCACAAAGACTTTGGCATTCACTTGGCCGGTGGTGGAGGCAGCCAGGTGGTCAACGACCTCCCCTACACATCGCACCTGCCAAACTTGTCGCGGTTTTCTCATTTTCGTCTTTAAGTGAAAAACCTATTCAATAATTAGCATTATATACAGGAATAAAAAGTCCAAAAGTGATGCATCGTTGTTTAAAAGCAAGTTCATATTCATCTTCAATCGCTAGCGATATCGAGCGTACATGTATTATATATATATATATATATATATATATATATATATATATATATATATATATATATATATATATATATATATATATATATATATATATATATATATATATAATTTTCGTTTAGTAAGAAACTTAGGTACACACAACAATGCGCTGCTACCCTATCGTGTATTAGGGATTACAGAGTATAGAGCCAAAGCTAGCTATGAGTTCATCTAGTATCCCCCTCTCACAGGAGAGTTAGTCACGCATGGAATCAGCAGAAAGAAGGAAATGCAAGTCTAGTCCATATATTAGCCTGTACTAGCGTAGAGTATAATATAAGGGACTGCATAAACATACGTAAATAATATTAATTTAATGTTACAAAATCTTCTCAGACGCTGCATATGCATACGCATGCATGTACATGCATGCGTATACATACATTGAGGGGTCTGACAGCTGAGTGGACAGCGCTCGGGATTCGTAGTCCTAAGGGTCCGGGTTCGATTCCCGGCGGAGGCGGTAACTAATCCGCAGTTTCTTTCACCCTGATGCGTCTGTTCATCAGCAGTAAATAGATACCTGGGAGTTAGACAGCTGCTATGGGCCGCTTCCTGGGGATGTGTGAAAATTAGAATTAAGGACTTGCCCGAAACGCCATGCGTGCTAGTGGCTGTACAAGAATGTAAGAACTCTTGTATATATATAAAATAAAAAATTAAATGTCTGTTCGTGTATCCAGAAAAGTTACAGTAACCAAATGTTTAATTAAATCTACCAGTCTGCTAACAAGTGTTTTTTATCAACAAATAAGATAACTATAAACGGTAAAAGATAATGCCCAGCTGTGTATAATCGACAATGTCCACCTGTGTGTCAATTGTAGCATGTAACCCGCCGCCATGCAGCAACAGCAGCAGCAGGTGGTGGTGGAGGGCAAGAGGGCTCGCTGAGCATCGCTTGCGACCGTCGTCTGCATTTCGCGGTCGTCGACCGAGCACCTACCACAAGAGCCAACTTAAAACCCAATGTTGTATTTATTATAAACACTTTTAAATACAAATTTACAAAAACATCTTAATATATTTTGGATAACATTTAGAAGTATATGTACACAAAGTTGCAAAACTAAATATTAAAAATCGTTTGTGATATGAGTTGGAACAAGACTATGGATACTTGGCAAACAGCTGATTATGGCAGTCTTCCTACTGAACCACTGCAAGTTTAATGGCTGTGGATTGTCATTTCCCAACCTATTAGAGCTTATTCAACACATCGAGGAGACACATATCGGTACAGTGTACCTTTCTATGCTTATATTGAACCAGTGAGTGACCGTAGTGTCCCATAGAGAGTAAATGTTGTCATTGCCCCTCCCTTCCCCAGCCTGCCCCGGGATTTGTTTACATTTGTGACTCAGAAAATGGGTTACGCCCCTGTAAGTGCGCAGCGACCCTAGTGCGACTTGACCAGAGTCGGGTCTGAAGCTGGTGTGTGGCAGGTATGGGGCTAGTGCGAGACAGGTAAGAGGTTTGTGAGAGGCAGGTGTTGGGATAATAAGAGTGTCGGCTGTAAGACTAAGAACATAAGAATGAAGGTAACTGCAGACGCCCTATTGGCCCATACGAGGCAGTTCCTATCTATATCCACCCAAACTCATTCATGTGTATGTCTAACCTACGCTTGAAACAAATAAGGGCTCCCACCCCCACTATGTTACTCAGTATTTGGTTCCACAAATCAATAACCCTGTTATTGAACCAGTATTTACCCAGATCTTTCCTAAATCTAAACTGTGCAATTTATACCCATTGTTTTGTGTTCTGGCTTGTGTTGATACTTTTAATACCCTATTAATAAACCCCCTTGTTATGCCCATTCATCCACTTGTACACCTTTATAATGTCACCCCTAATTCTTCGCCTTTCTAAAGAATGTAAATTAAGCAAGACGAGTGCGATGAAGGTTTGGGGCTGAGTTGTGTCAATTGTTGGACTGTCATGAGGCAGTTATGTAGCAGTTATGGGACTTGTACGGGGCTGAGCAGGTGGATTTTTGTGGGGCTAGCTCAAAGCATGTGTAGATACAATAGAGATAGCATGTGGTAGGTACATGCTGCTGTACGGCTGGAATGGGGCTAGTCAAAATAAATCTGTGCAAACACTTCATGCAAATAAAAGGACCCTAAAAGGAACTAACTCCCTAATGAATTAAAAAAAAATCCAACCTATTCCTTATTCAAAAGTAAAATAAAAAAGTACCTAAGTAATTAGATAGTAGAATTTGGTGCTATTCACTTTATATGATTCTGAAAAAATTAAGCTAAAAAACATGAATATTCCTAGGGGCTGGTGCGAGGCAGGTGCGGGGAGCGGGTGTGAGGCAGGTGTGGGGAGCGGGTGTGAGGCAGGTGTGGGGAGCGGGTGTGAGGCAGGTGTGGGGAGCGGGTGTGAGGCAGGTGTGGGGAGCGGGTGCGAGGCAGGTACGGGGAATGGGTGCGAGGAGTGGGTGTGAGGCAGGTGTGGGGAGTTGGTGCAGGGAGCTGGTGCGAGGCAGGTGTGGGTGGGAGACTGGTACGAGACAGGAGTAGGGGGGGCTGGTGAGAGACAGGTGCAGAGAGCGGGTGCGAGGCAGGTGCGGGGAGTTGGTGCAAGGGGTTGGTACGAGGCACGTGTGGGGGGCTGGTGCGAGACAGGTGTCGGGAGCGGGTGCAAGGCAGGTGTCAGGAGCGGGTGCAAGGCAGGTGTCAGGAGCGGGTGTGAGGCAGGTGTGGGGAGCAGGTGCGAGGCAGGTGTGGGGAGTGGGTGCGAGGCAGGTGTGGGGAGTGGGTGCGAGGCAGGTGTGGGGGGCTGGCGTGGGGCAGGTGTGGGGGGCTGGCGCGGGGCAGGTGTGGGGGGCTGGCACAGGACAGGTGTGGGGGGCTGGTGCGAGGCAGGTGTGGGGGGCTGGTACGAGGCAGGTGTGGGGGCTGGTGCAAGGCAGGTGTGTGGAGCGGATGCGAAGCAGGTGTGGGGAGTGGGTGTGAAGCAGGTGTGGGGAGTGGGTGCAGGGGGCTGGTACGAGGCAGGTGTGGGGGGGGGCTGGTACAAGGCAGGTGTGGGGTGGTTGGTGAGAGGCAGGTGTGGGCGGGGTTGGTGCGAGGCAGGTGTTGGGAGCGGGTGCGAGGCAGGTGTGAGGAGCGGGTGCGAGGCAGGTGTGGGGAGCGGGTGCGAGGCAGGTGTGGGGAGCGGGTGCGAGGCAGGTGTGGGGAGCGGGTGCGAGGCAGGTGTGGGGAGTGGGTGCGAGGCAGGTGTGGGGAGCGGGTGCGAGGCAGGTGTGGGGAGCGGGTGCGAGGCAGGTGTGGGGAGCGGGTGCGAGGCAGGTGTGGGGAGCGGGTGCGAGGCAGGTGTGGGGGGGGGTGGGTGCGAGGCAGGTGTGGGGGGGGCGGGTGCGAGGCAGGTGTGGGGGGGGGCGGGTGCGAGGCAGGTGTGGGGGGGGGGGCGGGTGCGAGGCAGGTGTGGGGGGGGGGGTGCGAGGCAGGTGTGGGGGGGGCGGGTGCGAGGCAGGTGTGGGGGGGGCGGGTGCGAGGCAGGTGTGGGGGGGGGCGGGTGCGAGGCAGGTGTGGGGGGGGCGGGTGCGAGGCAGGTGTGGGGGGGGGCGGGTGCGAGGCAGGTGTGGGGGGGGGCGGGTGCGAGGCAGGTGTGGGGGGGGCGGGTGCGAGGCAGGTGTGGGGGGGGGGGGTGCGAGGCAGGTGGGGGGGGGGGGCGGGTGCGAGGCAGGTGTGGGGGGGGGGGTGCGGGTGCGAGGCAGGTGTGGGGGGGGGCGGGTGCGAGGCAGGTGTGGGGGGGGGGGCGGGTGCGAGGCAGGTGTGGGGGGGGGGGGCGGGGGCGAGGCAGGTGTGGGGGGGGCTGGTGCGAGGCAGGTGTGGGGGGGGGTGTGGGGGGCGGGTGTGGGGCTGGGGGGCGGGTGCGAGGCAGGTGTGGGGGGGGGGCGGGTGCGAGGCAGGTGTGGGGGGGCGGGTGCGAGGCAGGTGTGGGGGGGGCGGGTGCGAGGCAGGTGTGGGGGGGCTGGGCGCGAGGCAGGTGTGGGGTGCTGGCGCGAGGCAGGTGTGGGGTGCTGGCGCGAGGCAGGTGTGGGGTGCTGGCGCGAGGCAGGTGTGGGGTGCTGGCGCGAGGCAGGTGTGGGGTGCTGGCGCGGGCAGGTGTGGGGTGCTGGCGCGAGGCAGGTGTGGGGTGCTGGCGCGAGGCAGGTGTGGGGTGCTGGCGCGAGGCAGGTGTGGGGTGCTGGCGCGAGGCAGGTGTGGGGTGCTGGCGCGAGGCAGGTGTGGGGTGCTGGCGCGAGGCAGGTGTGGGGTGCTGGCGCGAGGCAGGTGTGGGGTGCTGGCGCGAGGCAGGTGTGGGGTGCTGGCGCGAGGCAGGGGTGGGGTGCTGGCGCGAGGCAGGTGTGGGGTGCTGGCGCGAGGCAGGTGTGGGGTGCTGGCGCGAGGCAGGGGTGGGGTGCTGGCGCGAGGCAGGTGTGGGGTGCTGGCGCGGGGCAGGTGTGGGGTGCTGGCGCGAGGCAGGTGTGGGGTGCTGGCGCGGGGCAGGTGTGGGGTGCTGGCGCGAGGCAGGTGTGGGGTGCTGGCGCGAGGCAGGTGTGGGGTGCTGGTATGAGACATAAACCTTGCTTAACATTTGTTGTGGCAAGCAAGTAGGGTTGCACTGAGTTCAGTTCTAAATTTATCTATTGACCTATTAAATTCTTCAATTTACCCCCCCCCCCCCTTCCTTTTATTTACCATGTGTGATATTCTTTCATTAATTCTGAGATTTGTCCTTCCTATTCTCTTGTCAGTCAAACTGGAAATTTTCTTATCCTGTTGCAAAATACTTCCTTTTAAATTATTAATTTCACTCTTGAGGCCTTAATTTTCTTATTCAAAATTAAGAAATTTTCCTTCATAATTATTTAGCAAATCCTCAATCATTACTAACCTACCAATAAAACCTTATTTCATAATTTCTTCCACAGGAATCTTCCACCCTTGAAATTTTCATATGTTATTGTGTTGTCCTTCTTTATAGAAGTCGCCATTTTTATTTTTGACACTGCTTATGTTTTAAATATCAACTTTACCTATCTAAATTTTTCACTCACTTTTGCATACATTGTTTTCTCTCTTTTTTTCAATTGCCCTGTACTTTCATGTTTCTTGGGACACCACATATGGTCATTACCTGTTCTACAGTATTTAGGCATTTAGATTTTCCTGGGGCTTCTTGATGTAGCAACTGGCTGGGTTCACTGGGGCATGGGAGCTTTTTTTATACGGAACGCTGCAGTCCCTGTTTGTAGATTGTGTGAGTTGGCTTTTTCGATGAGCAGCTGCTGTGCCTCAATGCCCTGTTTGACCAGGTGCCTTCAGGCTCTGGTAATTCCCCCGCAGGTCTTGGGCATGATTTAGGCCCTTGTGATTGTACATGTCGCAGGGGTTTAAGTTTTTTTTATCTCCCCTTGTTAGCTTTAGGTCTAACCGGTTAGCAACACCTTGCCCTGGATAACCCTGGCCCTGGATAACCCTGTCGGGGCTCAGTGGATCTATGGATGCGTCTTCCGAGTTCCCGCTCGCCTCGTGTGAGTTTGAAGGTTACTGTGTGCCCTTGTCTCAAGGTGACAGTCACCTCTTTTGCCTCCGTCATGCTGCCTGTTGGGTCACCGACACCTTTGACCCAAAGTCTTGTGAGTCATGCTCCTTGCTTGTTCTCCAATTTACCCATTATGATGACATTGATATTAGGGTACAAGCGGCATCCACATTCCATGCTAGGTTTAGGTTGCTGCAACATGCTAGGTTGGTCACCCACCCAGATGCCCGGTGGCTGCCCCGTTTTGGTTATAGGGACCTGGACTTGGGAGCATTAGTCACTTTAACTTTGGTTCTGTCCGCGCTTCCTGGTCCTTTCCCTGTAGTTCACCCTGCTCTCAGCTCTCAAATGGCTGGAGGTTTCGGAGTCGGAGTGGGGTTTTGTTGGTAATAAGACTCGGAGCAGCTTCGGGAGCTGCCTCGTTCGGGTTGGGGACAAAGGCATTTGAGCTGGTTCCTCCTGCCAAGGCTTCTGGGTCCCACCAGCACCCTTCTTTTCTGCCTTTCTCTTGGACTCTGCTTTTTCTTCAGGGGTAGAGAGTATGGAGAACTGCTCTGTGATGGGTCCCGACTTGGGGGATCCTGGGGCTGGGGAGTTGATGATCTGGGGGGCTTGGGCCCCCTTTGACATGGCTTGGGTGTTAGTGCCCTCTTTGCGGGGCTTAGTGTTGCAGGGGGGGGGGGTTCTTAACCCCCCCCTTCCCTGTATGAGTATGATTTGGGGTCGGCTCCTCCCTGGGTTCGGTTCTGGGTGCCCTTGGGTTCCTTGGCTCCTTCCTTCTGGAGGTTTTCTGCTTCTCGGATCTCACCCAAGGAGACTCGGAAGGCGCTTGCTGTGTTCCTCCTTTGTGACCTGGATTCTGCCTGTCTTGGATCTGTCCTCCTTTGAGTTCGGTTTTTCTTTCCCATATTGGGTGCATTTGGAGGTTTCGGAGTTTTCCTGGCTGGCAGTCTGCCCATTCTTTTCATTGGGGGCATGGCATGGGTTCTGTCAGAACCACATGCTTGAATGGCGAGAAACTTCTACTGTTCTGCAGGTTTACCTGGGAGGGGGGGGGGGTGATCGCTGTCTTGAGCACCTTAATGTGTGCTGTTAACCCCCTGTGCTTCCTCAGGATGTTGGCCTTGTGCAGCTGCACGTGCAGGTTCCTTCCCTTTCGGCATCTTCGGTTGCTGAGGACTTGCACGCCAGTGGGCACTTGGCTTCGGTCTTGTGCTTCTTTTCCCTTCTCGAGCTGTCCTCGGACTGGCTTGAGGAGGATGTGGGGACGTTGAGTGCCAGGCCTTTGTCTGGGGCACTGGCTTCGGCGGCTAGTACGTCGGCTGCACTGTTGAAGCTGTTTGCGCCAATTCTCAAGGAGGCGGTGTCTCTGTTCTTTGCTTCTAGCCTCGCGTGCCAGCAGGCTACGCTCACTCTCTTTAGAATCCACTTGGGCCCTGGCTCTTAAGTTTTCGTCGCCGTATTGTTCGTTTCAGTTTGCGGAGACTGATGTCACATATTTTCTGCAGGCAGTTTCGTCTTGTTGTCGTTCTATGCCGGACTTGTTGGTTCTCTGGTGTGGCTGTTCTAGGCCTTCTCAGAAGGGTCATGCCCGGGTCTCGGGGTTCCGTAGGTCGGGGTGGGCCATTGGTGCCAGATTCTGAGCCAGTGTTTCCTTCGGAGCCGACATCATCTGGTCGGCGCAATGATTGTTCTGCTCATCGGCCAGCTTCTCATAAGGGGCGTCAGCCCGTTTGCAGGTCGCCCCGTTGATTAGGGCGATGTGGGGAGACTTGCGCTGTTTGCTCCCGCCTGGTCCCACAATTTGTGGATTTGTGGGTGTTTTGGGTCGTATCCTCTGGCCTGCGGTGGCGTTCGGCAGGTCCTCCTCCTTTGGGGGGTTCAGGGCTGGCAGGACAGGCTTCTTTCCCCTGGTTGGGTCATCTCGGAGGTGGATTTCCCGCCTGTTTCCAGTGCCAAAACGGGACTGTGCAGAACTGCGGTTCATTCTGGACTTGTTCCATCTGAACCCCTTTTCAGGACCGTCATTTGATGGCGAATACTGTCACCTTGTATTGTGCTATGCTGGTGGAGCCACTCCAGCTTGCGTTCGGGGGTGGATGTCGCTTTTGCCTTGTTCTGTAAGCTTTCTCGTACATTGTTTCACCTCCGGCCTGCTCATGCGCCGCCTGAGCCATCCTGAATCTTGGAGAGGGTGCTCTCCTATCTTTCTTCTCAGTTCGTGGTGGCACCTTCAGTTCAAGATTGTTTTTCCAAGGCTCTCCTTCTGTTGGCATTGGCCTCTGGGGGTCGGGTTGGTGAGCTTCATGCTCTCCTCCAGTACAGGGTTTTCTGCTCTTTCGGTCCTGTAATCGATTTATTCGGTTGCAGCCTTCTCCTTTTTTTTCTAGCGAAGAACGAGATGGCTGCTTTCCGGAGGGGTCCTTGGGTCATTGATGCTTGATTGGTCAGGCTGAGGGTGCATCATGTGTTGCGTCCGGTTGAGGCTCTTCGCCATTACCTGTACGCCTCGGCTTCTGTGGCCGGGGATATGCTTTGGGTTGATCTGGTTTCCCTAGTTTCCTGTTCCAGGGCTTGGGTCTCCCAGGTCATATGCAGGGATATTAAGTCTAGCCAGCCTGCAGTCTATCCTCATGCCCATGACATTCGGAAGTTTACTGCTCTGACTGCCGTCTTCGGCAACATGTCTTGGGCCGATATTTAGGCGCAGGGATTTTGGAGGTCGAACAGGGTCCTGGCCACCCATTATTTGGTCAACATTTTTGGTCCTGGGCATTTGTGTGTGGCTTTGGGTCACAGGTTGCAGCTAGTTGTCTCGCCTTTGAGTTGAGTCATGGGCAAGTCCCGCTTTTGTATTTGGTCATGTAGTTCCAGGGAACCGGAGAAGCTTCCCACTGAAAACCAGCGTTACATGAAATGAAACGCCATTTTCTGGATGATCCCCCAGAGGCTCCTTGACACCCTCCCTCCCTCTGGTTGGCGGTTTTCACGTTTTGATTCTTAGCCTCCGAACTGGAGTTGCTGGGTAGCCGGCATCAGGGTTCCAAGGCTCCCCCTTCCCCCTCCCGGGGATTGGAGGGCTGCACGAATGAGCGGCAAGGTGTCACATTTGCTTGTTTGTTTGTTTCTTTGTTTCCTTGGGATTTGAGGGTGTTCTGGATCTGTTCAGTTTTCAGTTTTCTTACCATGTGGGGTCTTTTGTTATGCCTACTTTTCTGGATGCCTAACCCCTGTTGATGGCAGATAAGGAAAACCCCCCCCCCAACCACAGGGGTGTTTACCAGGGGCCATTGCTCCCTGTGCCTCTCTGAGGGACCAGGTTCTGGCTCATGGTTCCCGGTAGGCTGAACTCCATTGACTAATGCCCCAGTCTAATGTATCGCCTATTAGCCTGATAGCTTCAGGGAGCCTCTGGGGTTCACCCAGAAAATGGCATTTCATTACAGTACATTCAACACTGTTTTTTTTTCTTCAAGTTACACTACTGCACTTGCATAATATTCTGAACTGTATTAGGTAGGCAGGTAAAATATCGTATGTAGCAGTGGCAGAAGTTTCTAATAAGCGGAATGCATAAATGCATACATTTGTGTGTGTTTTCTGAATGACTGTAAAGAAGTAAGTACATTATACCATATACTGTATAATACACATATTTATTAAATCATATTTTTTCTCTTATTCGACAAAGATATTAACAAAAGCAAAATATTTTTTCTTATCAGAAACTATTACAGATCCGGCAACAGAAGCTGTGCAAGAAACTCAACAGCCGTCATGCCTTCCCTTATCATCTGTGTTACGGTTCTTCAGTCCGAGTGCTCCTCGAGCTACTCCTCGCAAGCACCCACTTAGCAATAAGACCTCTGGTGGTCCCCAGTCTAAAATTCCCAAGCTAGCACATACAAAATCTAATGGATCATCTTCTGGAAAACGTACAAATAGCAAATCTCCACCACCTATCCTTACTACTACTAATAATAATGGTGGTTCACTGCATTTATCGTCGCTGCTTAATTCATCAAGTAAGGTGAGTTTTAAATAAAACTATAAATTTTGTATATGTCACTGTCTGCCTGAAGAAAAAATGGAAAACATTTATTTGGATTATTACTGAATTGTGAAATTTTTAGTATATGTATGGTATGTAAGATAAGGCGACCTGTAACACAGTGATTAGGGTAGTCAGCTCCCAACCAATTATACCAGAGTTTGATGCAGGGGCAGGGAGAGACATTGTCAGGTTTTCTTACATCTTGTGCTTCTCTTTACCTAGCAGTAACTGTATACAGTATTACCTTGGTGCTAGGCATCTTATGGAAAATTTTGGTCTAAGGGGACTCTTGATAAGCCCAAGAGGCCTCCTGTCCCCAAGAATGGGAAATAAAATATGCTTGATGACAGCCTTAATATGGGGACACCTCTGCTTACGAATGCTCCTATTTACAAACTTTTCGGGTTACGAGCCCAGTTTCTTCGTAAAATGTGAGTCAACTTACAAGTTTTGCCTCGAGTAACGTAGTTTGTTGATACATGTATGGGTGACCTAGTGCGTGGTCCCTGGTGTCACAGACACCCGCTCTTCTGTTTACCAGTGCCTCCTGCTTAGTGACGATCTCTCATGAATTCTTTGTAAAGAATTTCATTTTTTTTTCTGAGACAAGGGCACAGCAACCAACGAACCGGCACAAGACGGGATGGAACCCGGAAGATACATCCAATGGTCCAACGAGCCCTGACAGGGTTTTCCAGGGCCCGTAGGGTAACAACTACGGGAAGCCCGGGCAAGGTGTTGCTAGCCGGTTAAACACCCAAGCTAACAAGGGGTAGATGCAACACTGAAAACCCCTGCGACGTGTACAATCATGGGGGCCCTAGCAGAGGGCCACCAAACACTACCAGTGGAACTATAGCCACACTAGACAGACCCCCACCAGGCAAAGAAAATAAAACAAAAAGTCCCCAGAGGCAACAGGAACCAGTCGTTGCGTAACACCTTGACGCCCTAACCAGCACAACACCAGTCCCTACCCAAGGCCAAACAAAGGCCCCAAGCCCCAGCTGGCCTCAAGGACGAGGCAACAGCCGAGGAGCAAGAACCTCTATGGGAATGGTTCCCGAACGCCCCAGGGAAGATAACCCTGTCACGCAGGGGCAGTACTCACAGGGCGCTTAGGGAAGAAAGCCCCTAAGCGCATGCAGCCCCCAGTACTGATGAGGAACACCTGGACACAACACAACACACGGCAGTGAACGCCACGAAGGCAAACACTGCCTAGGAAACTGAGGCCAGAGAAGCATCTGTCCCAGTTGACATTAGCTTACGAACTGGTGCTAGGCAGCCGGCGCGCTGAGGTCCGGGGCCTCGCCTTCCCTTCTTGGGGCAGGGAGGGCTGCGCGGACAATCGGCGCGGCAGTAAATTGTGATGTTTGCTTGTTTCCTTGGGATTGTATTGAGTTTTTACCTCTGTTTTTGTTTTGTTTTAGTTTCTTACCATGTGGGGTTTGTTTTGTTATGCCTACCTTTCTGGGTGCCTAACCCCGGTCGATGGCAGATAAGGAAAACCCCTAACCACAAGGGGGGGGGGGGGGGTTCCAGGGCCATTGCTCCCTGAAACCTCTCTGAAACCTCTCTGAAGGGGCCAGGTTCTGGCGCTGGTCCCTGATAGGTCTGAACTCCATAGCTAATGTCCCGGTCTAATATAACATACATTAGCCCGATAAGCTCCAGGGAGCCTCCGGGTCTCACCCAGAAAATGGCGTTTCATTATATTCAATGCTGTTTTTTTTTGCAGCCTGCGGTGGCGTTGAGTGGCTCTTTCTCCTTCGGGGGGTTCGGGGTTGGCGGGGCAGGCCTCTTCTCCTGCGCTCTGTCGGGTCATCTCCGGTAGGTTTCCCGCCTGTTTCCGGTTCCAAAACGGGACTGCACGGACCTCAGGGTACTCTGGCGTTTTCCCATCTGTATCCATGGGTTTATTGCCCTCCCTTTCGGATGGATATTTCTCGTGTGATTACTCTGTACCAGGTCCGTCTTGTCTTGGAACCAGGCGTTTGGATAGTGTCCCTGGACCTCTGGGACACTTTTTAGCATGTCCCAATTCATCCGGGGTTCAGGGAATGACTGGCTCGGTTTTGTTGTAGGGCTTCGGGGTTATGGCTTTCATTGCCTTCCATTCGGCTTGAATCTGGCACCTCACATTTTCACATGCCTTACCCGGGTCGTGGTGGCCCGTCTGCTTCTTTTAGGGATTTGGGTTCTAAGCTACCTTAACAACTGGCTGGTGTGGACTACCATCCAGTCCGCGTGTCTGCTCACCGGGGATTTGGTTCTTTCCCAGCTCGCTGGGTTCGGGTTCCTGGTGAACTGGAGGTAGTCCCATCTGGTTCCCTCTCAGGTTCGGTCTTGGCTGGGTCTTGTGTGGGACTCTCGGACCACTTCCTTGTCTCTCCCTCCAGATGCTCTGCTTCAGCTGTGGTCCTGCCTCTGCCAGGCAGGGGGGCCTGGCAGAGGCAGGACTGGGGGGCTCCCAGGTCATGCGGCAGTTGCTTGAGGGTTTATGCTGGAGCCTGAACTTTGCCATGATGGTCTACCTGACACGTCAGGTTTGGCTTCGTCGGCTGTTCTGGTTCCTTCGGGGACGTCACTTCCGCCTCTCTCACGATCGCCGTGTTTGGCCTCCAGGTGCCTTGTGTAGGTTGCTGCGTCAACGGCTTCCTTTTCGTTTTTTTGGCGTTCAGTGCCTTTGCTCCTACCCTAGCCCTCGCTCGATGTGTTCACAAATGTGTCGTCTCTTGGCTGGGGCTTTGTGACCAGTGCTCACCAGGCCAGCCAGGGACGGTGGGGTCTGTCCTTCTGTCGGGCCCACAGCACGGTGGGGGATTTCATGGCAGTGTGGATGTCGCTTCGGAAGGTTCAGGGTCGCTCGCGGATCAACGATCTGGCTCCATTCGGACTGCTCCCCAGTGGTTCATTTCATGAATTCGCAGAGATTTGATACAGTCCTTGGCTCTTTGGGGCTGGTTGCTTCGGGTGACTCGTTTGCCGAGTTCTAAGGGTTTGGCTTTCCTGGCCGTTCACGTTCAGTGGGTGCCCAACGTCCTGATGGACGGCTTGTCTCAGTTTGTTCTCCTATCCACGGAATGAACGGTCGACGCCGAACTTTTCAGTTGGCTCTGCCGGATGTACGGGCTCCCAGAAATTTACCTCTTCGCGTCGGCAGGCCGAGGCGTCTCCCGGTATATGTGGTGCCCTTCCCCGACTGCAAGGTTGTCAGGGTAGATGCCTTGGGGCAGGACTGGTCAATGTGGGGTTACCTGTGCTTCTTCCCTCTGGTTCTGCTGTTACCCCAGGACCTAGCTCACTTGGAGACTTACCAGGGGAGAGTAGTCCTGGCTCTTTGGTGGCCGGCCCAGCCTTGGTTTCAGGCGCCTCTTGCTTGGTGTCTGAACCTGGGTGTCTTCCCGTGGCTCCGCCTCTTTCAGCAGATCAGGCCAGTCTGTTATGTAGCTGGTTCGATCTTTTCCAGTCTTCGCGTCTGGTCTTTCTGATGTGGGTCTATCACTACTTGTATGGTGAGCAGGTGGCTTCGTTGATGGTGTCCCAACTGCGTGAAGTTTCCTTGGTGGTCCTTCCATTATTTCTTATTCCTTTGTAGGCTTACTTATGTCTCTGATAGGGTTGTCTTGTCCTTCCTTTCGTGGTTGTTCCAGGACCGTCAACTGATGCCGAATACTGTCGCCTCATATTGTGCGGTGTTGACGGAGTCACTGCAGCTTGCGTTCGGCATTGATGTTATGTCTAACCCATTCCACAAGCTGTCTTGTGTGATGTTTCACCTCCGGCCAGCTCATGCACCGCCTAAGCCATCCTGATCATTGGACCACTTGCTCTCCTTTCTCTCCTCCTCGGTTTGTGGTGGACCCTTCGGGTCAGGATCGTTTGGGGAAGGCTCTTCTGTTGTTGGCATTGGCCTCTAGGGGTCGGGTTGGGAGCTTCATGCTCTTTGGGTCCTGGTGGTAAGTTTGTTCATTTGCAGCCGTCTCCTTTTCTGGCGAAGAATGAAACTGCTGGTTTCTGGAAGGGCCTCTTGGGTTGTTGATGCCTGGTTGGTCAGGCCGGGGGTGCATTATGTGTTGTGTCATGTTGTGGCTGTCCGCCATTTCTTGCGCACCACAACCTCCATGGCCGGGGACGCGCTTTGGGTTGACCCGGTTTCCCTTCTTCCCTGTTCTAGAGTTCGGGTCTCCCAGGTCGTCCACAAGGTAATTTGGTCCAGCCAGCCTGTGGTCTATCCACGTGCCCATGACATTCGTAAGTTTGCTGCGCTTGCTGCCGTCTTTGGTAACATGACTTGGGCTTACATTCGAGCACAGGGTTTTTGGAGGTCGAACAGGGTCCTGGCCGCTCGCTACCTTGTCAGTGTTCCTGGGCCTAGTTGGGGCTGTGTCACTTTGGGTCGGCTGTTGCAGCCAGTTGTTTCGACTTCGCATTGAGGAGCGAGGGCCAACCTCCTCCCGGGTAAGTCACTCTTGTTTTTGTCTTTGGGTAAGTACCTCCAAGGAGCCAATGGGGCTCCCCCTCTCCAGAAAACCAGCAATGTAATGAAATGCTATTTCCTGGATGAGACCTGGAGACTCCCCGGCAACCCCTCATTCCCTCCGGTCAGCGGTTTTTCACGTGTTTTGACATCCAGCCTCTGAACTGGGGTTGTTGTTAGCTGGCACGGGGGTCTGGGGCTCCTCCTTTCCCCTCCTGGGGAGGGAGGGTGGTTGCTCAGACGGCAGTGCGGTGACGTCATACTCATTTGCTCGTTTTCATTTGGGGAGTTCTGTCTACTAGTTCGGCTTTCAGTAGCAGTATTTTGACCAGAATAGGGGTTTGCTTTGGGGCGCTTACCTTTCTGGGTGCCTGACCCAGTCAATGGCAGACAGAATGCTTCCAACCACACGAGAGTTTCTGTAGGCCATTACTCCTTGTGCCTCTCTGAGGGGGCCCAAGTTCTGGCTCGTTGTCCCCAGTAGGCCTAGAAC